TAGTATTTAATTTTAAAAATTGGTGGATTATTCTAAAAGCTACATGATCTCCTATTTCCTTATTTATATTATAAGTACAAGTTTTATGATTTTTAAGGGTAATAAATGAATTTATAATATATACCTCTATATAAAGGGAAATGGTTTGATTTAAAAAAAAAGTTTGTCGAATGAAAAAGGTATATAAATAGTACTTTTCATAAAAAAATGTATTGATCCATATATTTTTCAAAAAGTTATAACATTATAAAATTAAAAATATAAAAAGGAATTTTTTTTACAAAGATCATATTTTTTTTTATTGACTTCGATGTCTGTATTCACCATGAATACAAAATAAAGTCCAAATTTTTTTTTCATAATAAAGTATATTACATAAGCTTTAATTTAAGGTATATATAAAAGTGTCAGTATTCCGGAACACTTTCTAAAGTTAATTTTTTGTGAAAAAGTTGACATTTTGAATCCCCATCCCAGTGGGCAGGTAAAGGGTCAGATTTATAAAAAAATAAATAAAATGATAGGTAAAGACATCATGCATCTATATAAAAAAATTATATTATTAGGTCATTTTTTAAAAAAATATGACCGTTTTAAGGGAAAAAAATTTCGAAAATTAGCGATTTTTAAATTTGTAATTTTTTTGGAGATTTCCCTCATTTAAGGGAAACGAGTGAAATTTTTTGAATTTTTGAGGGTAATGTCTTTGACTAAATACGATTTGTGATGTTTTGACGTATCGTTGAAAGAAATCGGTTCGGTGAGAGCTGAGAAAAAGTGGTATCAGACACAAAAAAAAAAACATATAATAAAATTAATACATTCTCAGCTTCACATCGATGCTAATAATAATTTGACCTAACACTGCTAACATTTGAAATAAGACCTACAATGTATTTTGTTTTAATAAAAATATCTTGAAAAATAAGCTAAAAAATAATGTTCAGCTATAATTTATAAGTTACTAAATTTTAATAAAAAATTAAGTTAAGTTAATAGTTATTTAAAATAGTAATAATAATTTTTTTTATCTAATTATTTAATAAACATATTTTCTGTACTAATCGATCTACATCAATTGAATCACGCTTTTACATTTTATAATATCAATAAAATATATATATATATATATCACATCAAATTGTTAGTGCTGTTCAAAAAACAGACAATCTAGTACCCTCTCATGGTGTACAACTCATACATTTTTTCGTTACATTAAATTTCTCGGAATAATTATATTTTATTGCAGTACTACAGAGTGATTCCCGTTAGTATATTAAATAGTGTATCAACCACAATTACTGAAAACTAATTTAACTTATTAAAAAATAAAACTAAAGTTTAGTTTGTTCAGTTAAGTTAAGACTTTAAGCTAACTTTGTTTTCAATTTTTTGACGCGTTATTTAAGTATTGCATAAAAGTAAAACAAAGAATTACATAAAAAAATGACTAAGTATTCAAGAAGGCCTTAATTTTAATTCAGATTTTTAATTATTTAATTTCGACAAGATTTTGACCGGTCAAAATCACTTCATTCTATTGTCTAAATTTCGATCAGTCAATTGATTTGCCAAATGACATCGTTCCAAACCCAATAAAGTGTATAATTTTTGTAAAACTTGAAAAGGAATATTTATAGTTATAAAGATAATTAAAATTATTTAACGAATTTGAATGTTCTTAACACTCCATTTTCAAAATAATATTTTGTTTAAATAGTGCAAGTTTCCCTGATAATAGAATTATATATTTTTAATTATTTTTACTCTTAAAATTGAAATGAACAATAAATTAATGCAATCAATAATTAATGATTTATTTCTGTAAAAGCTCTGTAAAGTAATTTTTTTTGCCAACTAATATTTCGATTAAAATATTTTATTGTTTTTGAAAGTATTGAAGTTTTGAACAAATAATGTATTAAAAGCAGTAATGGTAAGAAGTGTTTAGTTTCAAAATTAGTATGTGAGAGGTAGTTTTAATTTTTATGAAGTCATAAACATATCAAAGAAAAAATTACTTTATTTTAGAAAACAGTTGTTATATCTAACTGCATCACAGAAAATTTTTATACAATGAAAATATAAGCTTAATAAAATATAAAATGCAGTGTATTTATCTAAAGAAATTAACTAAAAATAAAGAGACTTTCTAATGTTTACATATTATTATTATCATTTTTTATAGTGTACGCCAGTATAAATATCCAGTAAACTGGAAGTATTATTAAATACTAAAACATTACAACATCTATTGTTTGTTCAGTAGATAAAAATTTTTGATCCGGAATAATAAAATATTCATTGGCAAATAATAAAAGTTGTTAAATAAATAAATAAATACATGCATTTACTGAAAATAAAATTTAATAATTCAGTTATTATTTAAAATACAACTCCGTGATAGAGATATTTATCGAAGCTATATTTTTGTCATGCGTAAATTTTATAACATAATCTAATAACATGCACATTAGTTATTTATTAATTTAAACAAATATTTACTGTAGCTAATAATACGAAGGATTTTGTTCTTAATTTCACAACTATCATTACTCACTAGAAAGAGCTCATACAATTCCCAGTATTTCTTCGTATTAAAATAGCATTAGAAAATTACAGGTAAGTATATTTAGAGAAGTTTTTTGTTTTGCATTAAGACAACAATAGTTGTTTATTTTGATATCAAATATAATTTAACACTAATATTCAACTAAAGTCCAAATTGTTTGATTTGGTCAGTTATTGATTAAATTGTGCATTAAGTAAAAAATCGATTACTTTAAAAGTATATTTGTACTGTAATTATTAATTCAAATATTTTTCACTGATGTCTCTAATACATAAAATAAAGAGAACCAAATAACGTTCATATAGTTTTACCTGTTGTTCTATTATTTAAGTTGAGAAGATTATAGTTATGGTTATACTTTTATGATTTTTATTTTATACAAATTTTCGTCAATACCCAAAGAACCAGAATTTTTATGTTATATAATTATAAATAATATAATAATTTTATATATTAGTTAAAACAAGCAAAAAAAAAGCAGACTTATTGCTAAAATATATATCTAGTAGATGATAAATACTACAAATAATAACATATGGGAATATGTAGTAATATTACTAACATAAAGGCTTTTATTTTTATAAATAAAACACAAAAAAAAATGTAAAGCTTATATAAAAAATATGTTAACTATAGTTTTATATAAAAATTTTCGAAATAGTATCTAACAATAAATTATAATTGTTATTTTTTTTAGAAGGAATATTAAAGAACGTTCTATAAAAATTGTTGGTCGAACATTTTCTACATGAGTAATTTTTAAATAAGTATAATTATTATATTAGTGTAGTAAACATAGATCTGATATTTTTTCTTAGTGGTCCCTAAGTGCATCAAATGAACTATAGTGTCAAGAAAAATTATAGACCCGCTATTGTATAGTATAAATACAAACTGTTCCACGGCGTTTTAAAAATCTAATAACTTTTGATCTATTAAATATTTTACGTTACTTTTTAGCTTCGTTGCGAAGCTGAGAAGGTATTGGTTTTACTGTTGTGTTTTTTTTGTCTGTTATCACTTTTTCTCAGCTCTCACCGAACTGATTTCTTTCAACGATACGTCAAAACATCACAAATCGTATTTAGTCAAAGACATTACCCTCAAAAATTCAAAAAATTTCACTCGTTTCCCTTAAATGAGGGAAATCTCCAAAAAAATTACAAATTTAAAAATCGCTAATTTTCGACATTTTTTCAATTTTTTTTACTTATAACTGCCATAACTTTTTCAAAATTGAACATATCAATATAATTTTTTTTTTGTAGATATATGAGGTATCAACCCGACCTATCATTTTGTATATTTTTTTTTATACATTTGACATACTTTTTCACAAATAATTAACTTTTTCAACTTAACTCAATATAATTTTTTTTTTAGATGCTTGATATCTTTATCTATCATTTGGTATATACTTTATTATGAAAAAAAAAAAATTGGACTTTATTTTGTCTTCACGGTGAAAACAGACATCAAAGTTAATAAAAAAAATACGATATTTGTAAAAAAATTCTTTTTTATATTTTTAACTTTATAATGCTATAATTATTTTATGAGAAATAATGTTTATATTCCTTTTTCATTCGACATATTTTATCTTAATCAGGATATAAATAAGGGAATAGCAGATCATGTAGCTTTTGGAATAATACACCAATTGTTTAAAATTAAACACTATCTAAAGATATGCATTGAAGCGTTATTTTTGATAGTGATTTTAATCACTGTCAGATATCATTATACTTAATCCAACTATGCCACGTCACCACTGTTCCGCGACCCCCCTGTGCTGGTTTTTTTTTATTAATATTATACTTTCATAATCAGATTTGATATTTTTTTAATTTTCAAAAATTGTAAAAAAAAAAAAAAAGATAATAATTTTCTAGAATAGATTTTAAGAAACAAATTAGGAACAATATCATCTTTATCATCTGTATCTTATAGTTAATACTTACAGAATATTAAATTTGTAATAATTTGAATATTTTCATATTTGTATTCAAGTAAGAAATAAAGTATATTTTCTTCTTTAAGTACAGGTTAAAATTATTGATTTTTAATGGAAAAAGTTACATAATATGTAATTTTATCTTTAATGGTATTATCTATGATTCCAATAAAAATATATAATAGAATGCATTTTCTTCAGTCCTTTTCTCAATACATTTTTCAATGTTTGATACCGCAAATTAAACACATAAAACTTCAAATTCAAACAATCTTTAAAATAATACAGAAAATTTACTAGTGAACATTAAGAAGATATTTTCTTACCAAATTTTTCTTAAAATTTACTTTAAAAATGACTATCTTGATTTTTTTTTAGAAATTTAAAAAATATATATATAAGTAAAATATTTTTTCTGAAGATGTTTTCACAGTTCTAAAGTATAATAATAATTTAAAATAAAGTTACGCATAATATTCAGTAAATGGAAAGTTATTGCTTTTGTCAAAAAATCGTTGACTACGCTGTTTATAGCTTTTTTTTTCCAATAAATTCACATTAAACATCAAATAGTTGCATGTTGTAAGTTGAGATTGTACTATTTGACTTTTTTTTAACTACTGAGTTAAAACTTTTGTCTTTATCTTATTTCATTCCTATTAAAAGAAAATGGATACGATACAATTATTGTATTTTATTATATTTTTCTTTATACCTTTCTTGTTCATAGCTTGTAAATGTTATTGCTTTTACGAGTGCTCTTTCATATCTCTAGTCATAACAGTAAAAAAGGAAAATATTCAATTATTTAGCACACAATCTTTAAATGTAATAAATATTTATTACTTACTTTGATATGAATAAGTTTACGTCAAACTTGAAAATATTATTTATCAAGTATGCAGATGATAAAAAAAAATTATATTATCGACAAAGTATTTTTTATCAACAATAATACCACTTACGAATCGATGAGTATCTAATACTCTTTAATGCAATGAATGATAATACTGACATCGATACTGGAAAAATTATACTAATATAAGTACTATACATTGTAGTACTTTTAGGGGGGGGGGCTAAAGGGATTATAATCAATAGGGATATTGGTTGTGTTTAACTCAAATTATGTATGGGTTGTTTTGATAAATAGTAAAGTGTTATATTTTATTTTAAGCAGAGGATGAAAACTTTTACTATTTATTTTCTTATAATATTCAATTTTTTTGTAACATTCACAACTCTGTAATCTGGTTACACCGCTACACCAAAAATGTGGTATCTGTAATTTATAGTCATATAACGCGTATAATCGAAAAAATATAGAACCAATTTATTCTGTAGACAAAGGATAAATTACAACAGAAAAAAAAAATTTTTATGAGTGTGATACGAGATGTGACAAGATATGATAAGAATTATCATATCTTGTAATTTAACGCTAAATTTTTTATCTTTAGATATTGTCTGTGGTGCTGATAGCGGAATTCAAAAATTTGATAACGCAGGGTGACGACAGGTGACAAAACCGGTCTGGCGATTCACCACTTCTTCACATCATAATTTATTTATTACGTTAGCGCCATTTTTATGTATTTTTGTGCGTTATTATTGTGTATGTATATACTGCAGCTTACTGTATAATTAAGTATTCTAATACTTTCGATACTGTTTATGAGTAAAAGTATTTAGCCCTTCTATGCCAAAGTCTTGGCTAGGCCACTGTTTCGATTAGATTTATATTTATGTTTATTTAAAGATTTTTAAACTTCAATTATTATTGCAGCATTGTCATTTTTGAGTATATGTCCGTCGTGATAAATATTCCACGTGTGTTGATTTCTAGGAATAAGAAATAAACTTATTAGATTGATAATAAACACATTGTCGAAACAATATTCAGATGTTTAAATATAACTTTAAATGATTATCGATGCTATTTGCAGTTAAAGTAATAGTTGTAATTCATTCCTGGGGAGTTTTAAACTGATTTATGTCAAAATAGATTTATTGGTTCTCAACATCATTATAACTTAAATTATCAATAGCTCGACAATAAATGATTTATGATTTAAGTATTTTCTTTGGAAAGAAATTTAATTACCAGTATAATATTTTTATGGCATTTTACCTGTAAGCATGAAAGTTATTAGTTTTTATATGAAACATATATTAATAAATTGATTCTATAATTTAAATAAGAAAAAATTAAGTTATATACACTATAATGAGAAAAGGGTTTTTTTTGAGACTAATAATCCTAAAAGTCGTTAAAAATTCTTAAGTATTTTGACACATAAAAAAAAATTTTAATTATAAATTATAATATTAATTTTGTCCCTGAATCAATTCTAAAAAAAGTTAGTATAACTGGTTCAGTTACTAAGCACTCTACAATATGTAAATACTATCGGTATTATTCGTAATTGTAATTGTTTAGCAACCCAGTTGAGAAATTTAATTAATTTATGATACATGGCTAAAATTGCAAAATTTAAAATTCCAAAGATGGCTTGTACAATAAATATGTTAAGTAATTTTGAAGTTCAATAAATCCTTAATTAATCAATAGCTAGAATTCCTTAAATTTTTCTTGATTATTTTTATAATTAGAGACTGCTATTTTATTCTTAATTTCACTTAAATAATCTTAATAAATTAATAATTTGATTAATATTTTTGATTTAAAATAACCTGTTATGAACATATAATTAAATAAAGCAAAGATTTGTTTTGTAATAAGGAAGTGACAACGAAGTGAGCTCATTTTTTTCTTTAACTTGGCACTCTTTGCAAAAGGGGCCTATTTAATAATTCCTTAAGATTCATTTTCTCGTCATGTATTACAATATTAAATTAAAGAAAGTACTTACAATATTAAAGTATAAATAACTTATAAATTTTAACTAAACGATATTGTTATGTTACAGAATTAGAATGATTCACTAGATCACTAAATATATTAATAAATAATTCAATAAAAAATAAATAAATAAATAAAAAACTTCTACAGGAAAAATTTCATTTTAATAATTTAATATTTGGTTTTTCTTTCAATCCCTTCTCGGCAGCTTTCTAAAAAAATCTCCATAGAAAGATTGCCATTTATGGCGAGCTAATAAACGGTTAATTAAAGTTGTTTATTAAATTTAAACTTTTCTAAGTAATTATAATTTACATAAGTATTTAATTATTACGAAATTGGATTCACACATCATCAAGAATTTCTTTACTTAATCGTGAAACTAGACTTATACGCAGTAAATAGTTTTATTATAAATTTACAGAGTTTTAAATACGCACCTTTAATTTCCTTTTACCTCTGGTGCTTTATAAATATTGCTTGACTATTATATTATCTCAATAAAAATTAATTACATTCTACATTTTATTTTTACAAAAATAAAATGCACTTCATTCAACTGTCCTAAATATCCATTTGGTTCAAAGCAAGATGGTAAACCTTTAAGTATACTAACCTCGTCAAGTATTGACTCTAGACTAAGAACACAGGCGTTACTGAATAGTATCGACTAAGAAAAAAAAAGTATGTTCAGTGACATAATATAATCTGTTATAAACATTTATTGGTTCTTCTGATAGTGTAATTCAACTTTAGTACTGATAATAATTAAATAAAGTACGTCACTATTTAATTAAAGTGTGTTTGATCTTTCGTGACCCCATAATGACATGTCACAATTTATTACAAAATAGAATCGCTACCACTGGATGTTACATGATCCAATGCAACTATAATAAATCGTTTACGAAAATAAAGAACAAACATTACTATTTACTAATTAAAATAAAGTGTAAAATAATTAAATAAAGCAACAGAATAAAATAAATAAAATAAAAACAAAACAAAATTTAAATAAATATACCACTCATAAAAATCTTCAAACACAACACCGAACGTAATAAAAAAAAAAACCCTGCACAGTGGGGATGTGACATAGTTTGGTCCAGTATAGATGATATCTGACAGTGATTAAAATCACTTCGATGCAAATCATTAGATAGGATTTAATTTTAAAAAATTGGTGGATTATTTCAAAAGCTACATGATTTCTTATTTCCTTATTTATATTGATATACTGCACATAATACATTGTGCTTGTTACGTATTTTTTAAATTAAAATATATTTATTGATTATTCATACATAACATAATAATCAAACATAAATATATGTTAGATTAATTAGAAGGATTTTGTTATTATTTAGTCAATATGCGAAACTTTAATTGCAGATTTGAAATAAGCGTAAAAATGGGTTTAGATAAATATATTTTGATCTCTGATAAAAATTCCCTGTAGACCACTAAATTTATTCATAAGTAACAAACAATTTTTTTTTTTTTTTGAAAAGTATTGCATCAAGTCCTTTAACTTTTATACATGTTTTCTATAAAAGTAATATCTACTTAATATTTTTTCATAATTTCTCCATAAAAATTACAATATTAAATTATTAAATATCAATTTCATACTATATTTAATTGCCATAATAAATATTTATTCATAAATTATAATTTTAAATCTAAGAACTACTAATCAGGATATAAATAAGGGAATAGCAGATCATGTAGCTTTTGGAATAATACACCAATTGTTTAAAATTAAACACTATCTACAGATTCGCATCGAAGCGTTTCTTATGATAGTGATTATAATCACTGTCAGATATCATCTATACTTGTCTCATCTATACCACGTCTACACTGTGCTACGGTTTTTTTAATTTAAAATAGCCAGTTTTTAAATTTTTCCTACAAAAATGATTAATGGTTCGATAACAAATATAGAATATGTACTTATTGAGTTACAGAGTTTTAATATGTAAAACGGGAGTGTAACGCGGGTGGATACAGTTTGTATTGGTGTATGTTTATAAAGCATACTTTACACGTGTCACATACATGTTCTATTATATATATATTAAAATGACTGTAACTTAATAATTATAATACAATAATTGTTTAATCTAAAGGTATAACCTGTTTTGCACTTTTTATTTGAAATATTATTTTATTTGATTAGTAAAGGTATATTGACAACACATGTATTTTAATTTAAGTTCACGTTGTATAATTAATTATTCTTTGTGCCATCATATATTGTGTTTTACATTGCTAAAATCAGGAAAAGATTTTTCATCAAATAGATTATAAGTATTTAATGTTTCTATGTAATCAATAAATGAACGGACAATATTAAAATTGACGCCCTTAAATATATAATTGAGATATCTTCCAAAGTCTAGTTTGACATTATTTAGTGTACTAATTGAATTATTAATATCGTTTGTGTCTGTGATTTCATCACTTTCGGATGTTTCATCAATAGATTTATTAAGAAAATCACGAGCAAAGTAAAAATTAATTTGATTGGAGGATGTCTGTGAAATTTCGTGTGTATTCCAATTTTTAACTATCGTACAACCTAACCCTTCACAAAGCATTGATATTAGATTGCTAATATAATTTATCAATTCGCCTGTAAATTGTTTTTGATAAGTTGGTAACTTAATTAGATCAACAGTTCCATCGCTTATCATTGGAAAATTTTTAATGTGTATAGAAATACTTTTTATTACACTGTTAATTACAACATCTTTTTCTAATGCCAGAAACTTGGCGAAATCTTGAAGCGACATTAACCATTGTTTCGTAAGATTTTCAATCAATAATACATCTTGATGTTTAATACATAAAAATTGTTTCCATGTCAATCTTAACATGATTACTTTTAATAAGTTGAAAGTAGTTGAATATAACAACAAGCAAGTACTAAGATTTGTAGTGGACCAATCAAGTTTATTGATATTTTTAAAAACAGCTTTCAACTTCACAGTAATATCACTCCATTGTATTTGTAAGTTGTAACTATTAACTAACATTAACACAATATTTTTTTGTATTCCAAATCTTTTTAAGTATACATAATGTCTTTTAAACATTCTTAAATGTCCAAATACTAACGTTCCATTACTGTCATTTTCATTAATTAATTTTTCAATATCATACATTAGTTCCTTATGAAATGTAACGAGGTAATTATAGTTGGACTTTTGATTATCGTCAAAGCCCATATTATCTAAGTGAAATTGACTGTTTTTATCACAATCTTTCGACTCCAATTGTAATTTTTCGTAAACATATTTGTGACATTCCAAAATTTCAACAAATTTAGAATAGTTTTCTTTTGTAATTTTACCTTTTCTAAAAAAATTTTTGTATGTTTCAATTGTAGATGTGTATATATGTAATAACCACAATGATCCAACTTCAACTTCTTTGTTGAAGTACAATGAAGCTACCTGTTTTTTCACGAATCGGTTACCTTCAGTGATTATAAAAATTGCGTAATTATAATTACAAAGCTCGTGTTCCAAAAGTAATTTTGTTAATTTCAAATGATTCATACCAGCAAACAAGTAAGTGCATTTTAATAATCCAATGTCGCCCATTTTGTTTTTTGGTTTAATTATTCTTTTATCATTCTTATAGCCAGTATCAAATAATACAAAATTACCAAAATGGATAAAGAAATTTAAAAAAAAGAGCTGTAAAAGCACTTTTTCTCTAGAAAATTTATACCACATTTTAATAACTAATAAGATAATAATAATCTTATTGTTTTACAAAGTTATATTTATAGTTATTTTTAGATTATTATATAAACTCATTTTTATTCACTAAAGTATTATATGTTTAGTTTTATTTTAACAATAATTGTAATTTATAAAATGTTTACGTCATTTATTAAACATTAGTATTGTGAAAATCTGTGTTTGCAATTCTAAATAGTTTTATGCCTAATACTAACAATTTTAAATAATATATCATATGTGATTTATGATAAACTCTGACTACCCCCTTACATTTCGTTAAATAATGATTTTTTCATTACTATTTTCAAATTACAATTTGATAAATTTGTATGAATCGTAGTCAATATCAAATTTATTAAACAAAAAAAAAAAATTAAATTTTTTATGTATTTTAAAATAAAACTTATTAAAGAAAAAAATTACAGTTTTTGTGTTAAAATTGGAAAATTCAAAATTATTTAATAAATTGTTGTAAAAAAAAATATTTGAAAGTGTTTTTATTGAACAAGTGTAAATTGCATTATCGCATTAAGACAAGTGTGTGTAAGGGACCTATGATTATTAATTTTTTATTCAAAAATATTTATATTGATTACTTGAATAGTTTACAAGATATGACCATAGTAATGAGGCCACCGATTTCCAAAAAAATTATATGAAATTAACTTAAATTGAAAATAAAGTTAAATGTAATTATATTTTTTTAGTTTCACTCCCCCTCGAATTAAATTGTGATTTTTGAATTTGTAGTTATTTTAAATACGATAAAAACACTTTATGCTAAGATCAATATTTTCTTGGCTTCACATAGAAGAAAAAAATAATTTGCTACTAAATCGGTTATTTTTTTTTTAATTTAGATATTAGTTCTTTGAGGGCTTTACCTGATGATCCTCTACCATATTTAATTTTATGAGAAAATACATTTACTCATTTTTTATTTAAGGGAATTTTTTAAAGGGTTGATGTGTCCGAGTAATTCGACAGCGCCTGATGTATCTTGGTGTCTTGGATTCGAGACTCGGTCACGACGGCTTCGTTTTCTGAACGAGTCATCAGTTTAGTAACCGGAGTTGCCATACATCTCTTTGGTAATGAACTAACCACCCATCCTGGAGTATACAGGGTTAAGAAATTTCCCTTTAGGGAGGTTGCAATTACCCTCAATGGGCCGTATAAAAGGATTAAAAAAAAATTTGTTTATTTACCTTTTAATTTTATGTATACAATTTCAAATTATGAACTACTGAACAGTTATTTCTGAATTTCTTTTATTTTAACAATACATCAAATATTTACTCACACATATATTAAGTTTCATACAAAGTTATTATATTGAGACTCCTAATTTAAAGTTGTAAGTTACATATGACTAAACTAAAATTTTATTTTAAAAATTATTTCGCTGAAAAACAATTGATTTGGATAATTACATTTTTATTCAAATTGATGAAACATTTCATATTTAAAATGTTTACTAATCCATTTTTGTTTTCAAGGTACATATCAAATAAAATTTAACAATTTTAATTGGTTATTGGGATTATTTTGTTAAATCAATAATTACCTCGATTATTGATAATATGTAATGATTTTATTATTCGCATTTATTTTAAAAATATACAATTGTAAAATGAATGAAGTTTCAATTAAAAAAATTTCAACGAAATTGCAAACTTTTCTTTTGACATTATAAGTAAATACGCTTATAATTTAATTTAGTTTAGGAATGCTCATAAATTTGGATCCCATTTTGATTAGACACATATGATAAATTTAATATCTAAATAGTCATGTTTAACAGACGAATAAGTAACAAAAACGAGCGCGGCCTACGGTAATATTTTATTGCAGCGCTGGCGATCACTGTATGAGGCGGCGGCAAAGTTGGCTGAGCGGCCGTTACCGGAGCCGCGCACGGTAGCAGTTCCGGATAACCCTCCAAGGTTCGCGTGCTAAAGCAGCCGCGTCGCTGTACCAAAATTCGCCGTGTCAGTATATACGAAATTTTAAGAATAATAACGTCGATTTTTGCGTGTCCGTTAGTCGGTTATAATTATTCTGGATTAAAATTTTATTTTTATTTTGCAAAATAAATTATTTAAAACGTGTTGTGCTTTTTTTTTTCTTGTTTTACATTTCATAATTTTTTTTTCTTTGTATTAATTATTTGTCTCTTGTCTGGTCGTTAATGAGTGTTAAAATTATCTCTAAATTTTTGAAATATTGTGGACAATTGTACAAAAACATTACAAAATATAATCGTATCAACGGGTTTGTGTATAAAAAATTTAATGGATTTTCTGGATAAATAAGACAACAACAACACTAGGTAAACATTAATTGTCTTATCACAAGTTACTAATAAATAATTAATTGAAACTAACACCTTAAATAATTGCCGTTGTCAGTTTGTGTTTTTATCAGTTGCCCTGTATGGTTATCAATTCATTTAATTTCATAATAGTGTTGTTATCGTTTATAGGCAGGTTTGGTCATTTAAACCACAATTTCCCGCGTAAAGTGTTCCAGACGAGATATTATTAATATTTAATTAATCTATCTGCCCGGGCCAGACAACTGTATTATTCATTACTGAAGCATAATATGTTATGAATTTTATTATTACAAAAGGAATTTTACTACGTTTACTATACTCTTCGTATACAACGACGGAGAACATGTTTATAGAAACTTTATTGCACAAACTTATTTCATAAACGTTACATTTGTTTCTGTAAGCTCTTATTTTTTAGCACTTGCATTGCTTTTCAACGAAAATATTTGTTCTGTTGATGTTTCATTAAGAGTGTTTAAATTTAAACTCTTAAGCGATCAGCGTCTTATTAATTTAAGCAAATTAATATTAATTTTATTGCTCTAGGTGCGTCAAACCCAAATTCGTTATTAACAAACTTTTTTCATTAAAAAAAAAGAACATAAAAATCATAGTAATTTTGAAAACAAAAAACCAATTCAGGATAAAAAAAAATATATATTTTTTACATTCCTGAAACCATATTATGATTGCCTTTGTTTTATTTGTCTCCAAAGGATATCCTTTTGGTTTGCGAATTTCCGTTAAATTACAGGGCTCTACAAACTAAACCGTATATGAAGTTAACCGATATCATCAATTGACTAACGCGTGATGGGTTACTTCCGTGGCTCTCGAATGTGGATTATACATGATTTTTTTCTGCTCTTCTGTATTCTTTGTCTGTCCATGACACCGAATTTGTCTACCGTAACGCATATACTATGACTATATTATGGTCGACCACCAAAGTGTACACTGAACACAACCGCGGTTTCACGTATTATGTTCACATCAGGTTAATGGTATTATCGTGAACGTAGAGTTATGTTCATAATTTCTTGTAACTCGATTATAACAATATTATCATTAATTTAGCGCTCAAAAGTAAACTTCCTCGGGCTGTTGCTAATAATGCGAATGGTGTCCGACGTTTTAATTTTAAGAGCAGAACTTTTCTAGGATGGTTTATTATGAAATTGATATGAGCTCATATCAGTTACCCATATCATATCCATACATTTATTTGAACTCGGTTTATAACTATCTCTTTTCGGACCTTCCCTTATATTTTACAGGCTTTTGTAATAATAACCCCATTAGGCTTCTTGCCGCTATATATGCCTCCCTTGTCCATTCTTACTGTATACATTTTATGTAAATATTTTCTTTCGTAATAATACGTAATAATTCTTTCGATAATCAGGATTTTATAATTTATACATGTTTACAAGTTTTTATGTACCGTTTAAGAATTTAAACGGTTAAAAATATGCTGTTAACAACTCCGTATAANTTATCTTGATAATCAGGATTTCATAATTTATACATGTTTACAAGTTTTTATGTACCGTTTAAGAATTTAAACGGTTAAAAATATGCTGTTAACAACTCCGTATAATTTTAATAAAGTCTGGCAAATTTATTTACTATTTCATTTTTATTGATTTGTCATGTGAATATTAATCAGTGATAGTGAATAGTTTGTTTGTTTTTAGGTAATAACCGTTTTGAATTTTGTACAAAAATAGTTTTTTATTTTATTATTAACAGTTACTGTTAACACGAATACTTTTAAGTGTCGATTGATAAATTTATATGTAGAAGTTCATGGTCGCGTCCCTAATATCATTCATAATCGTTTATTTCGTTCATAATGATCTGTAGGAATAATGCGTTAGTAAGAGACTATATGATGTGTTAATACACGATTGTTTGAACCTTTTGATTGCAATTTTGTTGTGAAATAAATGACAATAAGTTTCAAGATAAAATAAAACATCTGCTTACAATGTACAACAATGATAAACTTTTGTGTATAATACATTCAAAAATTATTTAAATTAAAGGTGATTTATTAATAAATTTATTTAATTTAACTATAATTGTGTCTGATTATTTTGTAGTGCCGTTAGTAAAAAAAATCAATTGCTCAATTCTTTTAAATTTTGAAAGTATGTTAAGTTAAAAAAAAAAAAATTAATTTTCCTTCCATTTAATATTACTTATTTAATAACTAAAAAAATTCAATCATTTAACAAAAATATTGTAAATTTAAAATAGGGCACCAACATAAATTGTGTCAAAATGCGTTTTTTATTTTGTAATAGAGTTATCGTTCTTGGAATATGTGCTGCCATCATCTTTATTTAATAACGGCATTAAAATTAACTACATTTTTAAATAAATATTTTTCCCTAGTAAATATCATTGAATAATATTACACAAACGGAAATTTTTATGTGATAGTAACAAAAATAATAATTCAGTATCTTGCCTTAAAGGTAACTTAACGTTGAAATTCTATCATTTTAAATACAACATAAAGTGTAGTTTGTATAAAGTGGAATAAGGAAAAATACTTATAATTAATAATATTATAATTGTATGCATAAAAATATATTTATTTAGCCATGAATTTAATAATTCGCTCCATATTTGTGGGGAACGTTTGAAATAGTTGATGTTCAAAAAAGGAGTCAAAAATATTTTTTTAACATTTTACAAACATTCCGAAAATAAATTTTATGTAAATAAATGACAAAATAATCAAAAGTGGTCTATAATGCAAAATACTTATCTTCTTTCTTAAATTTTATTGTAAAATTTATATTTTGTAATGAAATCTTTGATGAAACTACGGCCTAGACTTAATATTATTTCTGGAGAATAGGTGTGACTGGGGAAACTACGGTCACCTTTGAAAAAATTGTTATATCTCGGGTTCTAAGATTCTAAATGTTATGTTATTACAACAAATGGATGCATAAACATATCAACTGCATTATGTCAAAGCCTCAGATTTTTAAAACATAATTATATATATATATATATATTTAAAATATTCCCTCGTGGTAGGGGGAATATCAGTCATACATAAATACATGCAAAAAGATAGGGATAAAATAATTAAAAAAAAAAATCACTGAAATATAGTTCATAAAAATTATAAATATATAATAATTTGCTAACCTTAAATTTAATTTCTTAAAACAATTTTTTTTAAATAAATAATCGCTAAAAACTACTTTCACACATTTAAACGTAAAAACGTTTTTTGATAACATCGTTCTAATAAAAATAAAGTTTTTTTAATCATTCTTAATCTATACATATGGTCTACATAATTTTAGTTGCATGGGTTTATTAGAGATAATTAGGTAACCGGTATTACCCACTGACCATAATTCCCCCAGTCATCCCTAAGTTTAAAATATGGCCAGGTGATTTTCACAGAGTTAAATAAATTTTACCTTTTTAACATCTTTCCATAGTTAGGAGAATAAGAATGCCTAGTTTTATTAGATCATAACAAAAAATAAATAATAAAATCCGATGCTAATTTTTTTTTAGCCAATGTTTTCACTATGAATTAGATAAACATTGTTATAAAACTTTAAAGGCATATTTTACAAAAATTAAAGAACTTCTAATAGCAAAAAAGTAATGTTGAATAACATATTAAGGGGGATGAAATAAAGCATTGTTATGGACAGCAAGTTTTAGGAGATTTATATCGGAGTAATTGACTTTTTTATTTATCTCAGAGTAATAAAATTTTAAATACGTTTCTGGTTATACATATTGAAAATTTAGTACTACTGGAGTACGCATAATAGAATTATTATATATACTTTATTAATATGTATTTTATATCTATTATTTATTCTTAAAATGTATTAAGTTAGCAATACCACTGGTCATTGAATAGAATATAGAATTAGGAATTATTTGTCCTCAGTAAGAAAAAAAGGCCCCATTTATGTTTTAACCGTGTTAATAATTTTAGAATTATTATATAAATATATATTTATTTACAGTTAACACAAAAAACTCTTCCAAAATTTTAATGATCAGCTCCTACGTTATCCCCGGTTTAATTATTTATATGGCAATAATTTTATTAACAATTAATTACTACACAAAGTCTTACTTATTTTGTAAAATTCTGAGTGTTTTTACTATTATTACAAATGACTATCAGAAGGGTAATGTAGTTAATACAAGGGTTCTGTTCTTAAATTGACTTAAAATAGATCTCTTTTTATTAAAAAATAATTTAAGCGTTATTGAAACGTTATAGTAAAAATTTAGTATCTCAAAAAAAAAAAATTAAAATGATACGTCTTCAAAATTAGAAATAATAATTAAACCAATTAAATTTTATTTAACTAATATAAATTACATAAGAATGGAATTCTTATGATTATTCAACTGATTAAAAATTACTTACGTCCAAATTTTTTTCATGGTACTCTTAATAGTTTTGCAGAAGTAATAAAACTTAAATTATGTATTTTGTTGTTCATTGATTTATTATTTGTTATAAAACTAATTTTGAAAAATATAGCACCATAAAATAGAGCAATTTTACAACTTAAATAAAATAATGCATCTAAAAAATGTGCATAAAAAGATCAGAGATAATATGTCAGTGCAAATTCACTACAAACTATACCTAAGTATTTTATATTCGAATAATTTTAACTTATTTTACAATTAATACATATGGAATTATTTTAATGTGATGTATAAAGTAGCCTATCTTAAAACATATTACTTATACATATATGAATTGATCAATTTTCTCGTCCGCTGCGGTGTCCGAGTGGTTAAGGAGTTGGACTTGAAATCCAATGGGCTCTGCCCGCACAGGTTCGAACCCTGTCCACAGCGTTTGGTTACACAAACTTTTTGCATTATTTTTTGCATACAATGTATTATTAAATATATTTTTTAGATCATTGAAGTACATTCACTAACAAAGTTTTAATATTTAATATGGATTACTGTTA